TTACCATCTCAATTACTATACGAGGTTTCACGTTATGTGGCTCTATGCTTTTGCGGTGAGAGGGCAGCTTTATACGTGGGTGAACGGGAAAATGTCTTTTGAAACCTTTCTAGGTCGCTCTCGATCGCCCCACTGTCAGTCATATACACGCGATTCCGCTTGGGGCTCTTGAGAAAATAGTCGATCTCATCGTAGTTTTCTTTTAAAGATAGTACAAGTTGAAATTATAGCTCTTACGTTCCCTTTTTCTTTTACCCTTTCTTGAAACGTTATTGTTATTAAATAGAGAAATCAGAATTGTAAATAAATCTGATTGCATATATATATATTCTTTTTCTTTTTAAGAGCAAAACTTAACTTGCAAGTTTTTAAATGCGCTTACTAACGTTATCTCTTACGCAGTCGCAGTCGCCCTCCGGAACTCGAGCCTTGGATCGTTCTAAGAAAAAAATGGAAAGAAAGAAAAAGAGAAAAGAAGAGGAAAAGAGAACCTGATAGAATGGAAGGGATTGAGAAACGACAAAGAGAGGAAGAAATAGACGAGAAGAAGAGAGAGCAGAGAAAAGAAAATATACATGGTTCTCCCGGCGGATACGAACGCGGCAAGGCCGAGAGAAGGAACAGTAAAATTGTAGAGAATGTGTACGCGCCATCAGGGTGGCCTAGATTCAGTCAAGACCTGCTTTCTAGGCAGCATTTCTCTTTATCATCGGCACCGCTGGTACAATGTATGGGTAAACCGTTGGTTGCCGCACGATCGTGGAGAAAATCTCAGGTGCACATAGTGCGTACTTATTAATGATTCTTCCAATTCTATCAATGATTTAATAAATAATTTCTATGTATAATTACAGATTTCGAATATGATGCATTCTAGATTCTTAGATTCTATTCTATTCTCCGAGACATTATTTCTTTTCTTTCGATCTTGTGTCTTTATCGTAATCTTTATTTTCAATACTTTATTTTTAATATTTTAATGAATATTTTCATTAAATTCAATATTTTCATTTACATTGTTCTAATTTGTATAGTAATAAAATTTTTTATCAATTTTTGTCACTCTAAATATCGTAATTCAAATTTAATGCATAAATCATTGATATCATTACAACATATTTAAATACTTATAGTATACTGTATTTGTATTATTATCTTTGTGTATAATATATACGCAAAGATGAAAGTCAAACGCGAATAATAAATACTATATCAATGATTACAAAAAATCTATACTTGATGTTTTTGTGAAAGATAAAATTAAAAAAAAAAAGAAAGAAAAACGAATTTTGTAAAATCTTTGTTATATGATTTGCGTATTACGAATAATTTTGCGCCAAGACAAGATGCTAGTCATGTTTTTCTTCGTATACAGCTATACTATACGCGCAAACATTAAATAAGTGTTTCCTGCGCATACGTAATCGCTGATTATTGGACAGTTATCGTGCACGTGACCTACCGTAATCGACGACAGCGATTCGAACGTGCACGCGGCAACTGTTCCAAATCCTCATGGTGAGAAGCCACGAGGCGCGCGTGGAGGGACGTTTAATTTGTCTTTCCGAATGCGACAGGTCGTTAAATGTCGTGGATCATTGTCACGCACATCTATGCGAGTACGCACACGCGACTGACCAGCTGTGCGGAACTATAGACGAAGCGGTCGAAAGTCAAAACAATACAAGACAAGCACGCGTAAACGCGGTACAAAATATCGCTTGTGAAAGATTGACAGTATTTTCACATCGAAGCCTCAAAATAATTATTGCTCAAACATTCGTTCATTGATATATTTTTCATCCATTACTATTGTATATATCTAAGATTCTGTTTAAGACGTGTCAATGTACAACAATAAGTAGATTTAATGCATTCGTTGTTGAACAAAGAAATGATTAAGAATTATGATGTAATGATATCGATGATTCATGGGGTGAACAATTGTAGTGTACAAATTTATCGTTGCACTTACCTTACCATGACCTGACCCTCGAAGAAAATCACCACTGGAGTTAAACTTTGGTTGATGTTTGGCAACTCTGTGCCAAGATTCGCAGAAGACACTCACTTTTACTATAGTTATGACACTTGGTATACACGACTACGCGCAATAAGATGTCTTATAAAGGATTTTTCACAAAACGCGTGTTCACGCGATGACACAAGGACAATTGTCAGTCGTCACGTAAAGCACGTACTGCGCCGACGACTGGCAGTTGTCACTCTCGGTTTGCCCGTGAAAACGTCGCGGCACGAAGTGGCGTAGCGAATCACGGAGAGAGACGGAAAAAGAGAAAGACATAAATGCACACTAGGGGGCACCGTGATGGCGGCGGACGACCCGTGTTCCGTTGCGGACGGTGGCGCAAAGCGATTAAGCGATTTTGTTGTGGACCCCGATTCTTCCCTTCGTCGGCTCTCTCTTCCCGGCTTTCCACTTCTCCCGCGTCGCCTTTCGCCTCTCCCGCCGGCTGCGCTACGCCGTAAACGCGCCCCTGAACGGAAATCTGCCTTCTTCCCCACTACGTCCATGCGAATCCCTTCCACCGCTACGAATTGCCATAATGTTGAACCGGCAAAAATCAGGATTGTATCAACTTTCTTCTTTACAACTTTAAAATTTTTTTATTCAATATTTTTGATAAATAATTGAAAAATCGTACATCTGATAAAAAATTTGAATTTTCCGCCAAACTGTAACGTGTGTATATCGTTGGAAACAATTGATACAGGGCAACTTTAAATCACATGGAATAAAAAAGAAATCACTGTCATTTTACGAATTTGTTATGTACTATGCGTAGAAGATTTCGCTATTAATTATATATTTATAAATTTATTGTTCGATAAAAAGAAATTTACCAATAATTTTTCCTCTTTATATTCATCATTCTTTTGCCTTATGAAAGTAAAGTCACTAGGTTCTGAAAATCTTTTGACAGCCCTGTGTTAACCGGCCGTTCTCTTTACCCCACTATTCGTACCTTGATGCGCACAACGTCAAGTTCAATTTTCTGCGCCGCGTCTCCCCACAAGAACCACACTGTTTCCGAGCATCCCGGTTATCCCTTCGCAGAGCGGGTCGATCGTTAACGCGTAGCAGTTCGGCCATTGTGTAAAAAGAAGCCACGGCGCTCGGATAGTGTACGCTGAGGACAGGACGTGTAGTTTTCCCAAGTTTTCCTCTTGTGATATTTAGATTGTGCCAATATAGGTGAGTAATTTATATATATTTGTAGATTTGTGTATTAATTGTGTTTTGAATTTCATTGTCGTTGTGAAAAGTTCATGAAAAATCAGGTTGTCCCGTTAAATCAATGGATAAGATGCAGATACATCATAAATACTTCATCCTTTTACGAAAGTTGGCATTCGAAATGTTTTAAGTGAAATGTTTATTTCAAAATTTGCATGAATTTATCACTTTTTAAAATATATCTATTTTCATTTTTCAAACATTTTTGAACACTTCTCGCCATTTTGCTTTGACCATGTCTGTAAAGTCGGCCATTATGTACGCGTGCTAGGTTGCGGCCCAGGACCGGTAATGACGTACAAGACATTTTATACATTTTTATTATCAATTATTGAATTTTAATTATTCATATGTTATCCTTTTTTCTTACGATGAATGAATTATTATAATTGAATGTATTCAAAAAATGTTCTAATTCAAATTTTAAAGTCAATGGTCTTACATTTTATCGACCAGTTTCTTTTTTGAATACACAACTTATCAATATGTATTTTATCACTTTGCATTTGAATAATAAAATTATTAATATATATAAATTATAAAATATGGATTCTTATAAACTATATGATTTGTATTGTTTATTTTAACTTCTTTGCTTTTTTGTTATATTATTGGGTTAGATATTTTTTAGATGAATTTTGTTTTTACAAAATAAAAATTGTTATAAGAATGAAATTCGAACTTATAATCTTTTTTTCTTTGATAGTATTAATTTTATGTCATATTCAATATTCATGTAAATTATTACATGAAAATGGAAAAAATACAAATGTTGTCGGTTAGCGTCCTCTAGCAATAATTTCCAATCACGATGAAGATCATAACTTTTGAGACCAGAGCGCATGCTCAATAGTTTCTTTCGTTTTTCCTTCTCTCGTTCCCTCTTCCGGGGAAGCTTGCGCTCTCTGACGGTCGGCATACAACGAGTTAGGCATTCGGTTGCGCCATTGTTGAAAAGGGCAGCGCTCGAGGCGCACGCCGAGCTCGGACGTTTACGCAGTTTTTTTTTCATTTTTCACCCATCCTGTGATATTAGATTGTTTTATAGTCCATATTAGGTGAGTGTTACAACAAATAGTTAATCATTTGTTATATTTTTTGAAATTTGAAGAAAATTCCGGAAAATCTTAAGATAGGGTGACATGGCGCGGGCGGATCCTCTGTACTTCTAAGGAAACTTATATATTTTTTTTAATTATTATTTGAAAAAACTTCCCAATAAAGCAAGTGTTTGCGATTTTAATATTCTCGTCCAGACGATGCTTTAACGGGAAAATCTAATATTAAAAATAAATTTCAAATCATCTTTTTCTTTGCGAACTTCACTTCTATCGCCATTTTGTCTGGGCGCGATCTCGCGGACGGCCATATTGTGATCCACGTTTCCTCTCCTTTCGTAGTTTCTAGGGGCGGTGTACGGAAAGTGCATCGTTCTTTTTCGCCGGTTAGTAAATATGTTTGAAAAAATTATCTGTCGTCAATTTGTTTTTGTTTCACACGTTGCTCGACACGATCTGACGTAACATTCAATACGAGATAACAATATAAATAGATTACGCAATCGTCTGTAAGCAGTGGTGAATGCACTTCGCTTTATTTCATATTAATCTTCAAGCGCGTATGTACTTGCATTGTATCCCCCTCCAGTGCTAGTTTTACGCGGTGCGCATGTGAAGCAAGGAATCGATTTTACATTTTATTGCGCGTTAGTGATGTAAAGCTCGATGACGTAAATTATGTTACTTTTACCTTTTAATCCGTGTCATAAACTTTAACGTAATTCTTCAATGATAGTATAAAACTTTATGTACGGTTTTAGTGATAATTAAATATTGTACATAATAATGTACAACATTGTATGGCAGTTAAAAATATGATAAAAATAAGTGTGTATTATTTAAAAAATACTTCGATATTAAAATATCCTTATATGATATGGAATTGTTTTCACATTTATAAATTATGTTACAATCTTTAATTTTTTTTATTTACTTATAATTTTTTTAGATCGAATATTTTATTATGATTTTTATAATTTTTTTCGACATAACTGACATAAATTACGGTTTTGTTTTTAAATTTAATATAATATCATTAGGGTACTAGATATCCTGCAGACGTCCCTGAATTCCAGGGGCAATCGAACTAGTGCGCAACTTAAATGCGCAGGTCGGGCGCAGCTGCGCATGCGTAGTGCTTGCGCGTCCTCCTGCATCATCCCCACCAAATCGTCCATTACCGTTATGAGGACACGCACAAAGGAAAAGGCCAGAACACCAATTCGACCGACGCGCTTGCATCGTACGGCCATTTTGGAAGCTTTGGTGCTTCCTCGCGGAGCTTTTATCGCGATTACACATATCAATCGGAATAATAGATATTATTAGCTCTGCCCTGTATTTTCAAATTACCGGCCTCGATGTTCGTGTTAATTGGGCGTAATATAGTTAGATAGCATTAAGCATAGAGTCGATCATCTTGAACGACAAACAGATCTGGTCTGTTCATTACCACGAATATTTTTTGCTTATTCAGTAACGAGGGAACGAAGTCCGAAAAAAAATGGAAGACGACCAGCAATTCTGCCTTAGATGGAATAATCACCAGAGTACATTAATTCAAAACTTCGACACGCTTCTCGAAAGCGGGACGCTTGTCGACTGCACGCTGGCCGCGGAGGGGAAATACTTGAAAGCGCATAAAGTAGTGCTATCTGCTTGCAGCCCCTATTTCGAGGTGAGTGTATTTTTTAATATTTCATTATGTCATTAATATTATTAATATTATTTTATTGTTATTATTTATTATTTACATTAGTTATTTTTAACAATGTAATTATAATTACTAATAATAATATTCATAATTTAATTACGTCATATTATATTTGATGTATATATTTCATATTATATATTTTTTTAAATTGAAATTTAAAATTATTTAATACTATCGAATTTTTGCCTTTTAAAAATTTTTGTCTTTTCCATTAATTTTTATTTTGAACGTATATTATTTATGAATTGATAAATAGTACAAAAAATTGGATAAAATTCATATGAAGTTATTTGAAACTTTGATTTTGTTTCTATTAATGTAATATTTTTATTTATTAATTAAGTTTCGAATTATGATAAATTTTGGAATTCAAACTAAAAGAGAGGAAACCTCAAATTGAAACAAGATGGCTGCTGCTCTTGTTGAATGTTGCCTGGGTGGAAGCCAGAGAGGCAGGGGGACTGAAAGCCCAAACCCCCTCCTGGTTCCTCCTGGTAATCAATACAGAGAAAGCAAGATGGCTGATTTCCAGGGCACTTGCCCTGGGATTTTACCCTGATGTGGGTGGAGGGGTTTATGAAGTAGCAATACATCATTGATTTAAATTCAAATTAGAAAATTGAATTCTATGGATTAATGTTTCAATTATTTATTATTATTTACATTTCAAATTATAATTTGATAATATATGGCTTTTATTAATTAAATTATTATATCTGTTGATTCTGAAATTAATGATATTTTAAATTTATATTTTAATGATATTTTAAATTTGATATTTTCACATTAAAATTAATAAAATTTCATAATGCAATTAAATGGTTGAAGTTGATAAATAAATATTTGTATAGAAAATATTAGAGAATTTAATTTTTTGTTATAGGGATTGCTGAGTGAGCATTACGACAAACACCCGGTGTTCATTCTAAAAGATGTAAAATTCAAAGAATTAAAAGCAATGATGGACTATATGTACAGAGGGGAAGTAAATATTTCCCAAGACCAACTGGCAGCACTTCTTAAAGCCGCTGAATCATTGCAAATTAAGGGTCTATCAGAAAGTAGAACAAGTGGTAGTAGTAAAACGGACTTTAGGCAACAAAAAGTAGTTCCACAAACAACATCTCAAATGGACATTCCACAATCGTCTTCCGGTCTCACGATAGAAAAGAACAAAGTTCCTAGGCAGGGTATGGCACAAGGTTCCGTAGGGGACCTGCCCGAAGACTCGGCCAGTCCCCAAATACCTAAGGGTCTCTCCTCGAGGTAAGAATATTGAAACATTTAGAAATAATTTATATATCTGATTATTCGTATAAAATAAAATTATTGTTCTTCTCAGGGAAGGTTCTCAAAGTCCCACTTCGAGGAAAAGAAAAAAATTTAGACGAAAAAGTATAGGCGATGATAATTCTATAGAAAACCACGAAGCGTCGAATTCAAGCGATATGCCTCAACAAATGAGTGTTCCTGCGCTTGGAATTGCACCCGTGGCAGATGAAAAAGTACACGCAGACCCTACAGATTCCATTGGCAGGTCAGCCTTAATGACGCAGCTGACGAAACCTGCCGATGAAATGCTGCAGGTGAGATTTATGAAATTTGATAAAAAAAATTCTATTGTCCAGTTACATTAATCATTTACCAACGTCTAATAGAAGCTTGTGTTGTAATGCTCTTGTTTCATTCGCTACGTTGGTAGAATAACGATATCGTACTTTATCCTGCTGTTTGATGTCATATTAATTTAATCTTATAGAGTGGAAACGGTACGATACATAATTGTAATGATTTATTTAAAAATTCTGTTTTGTCAATTTTTAATTAAATATTTTTAAATAAAGGAAATGCTTTTTTTTTATAAAATATATATTTTTTCATAGTTGCCCTTGGAGAAACCTGAGCCAAATGATAATCTCATCGAGCCAAAGTCTGAATATCTAGAAGATCAAGAAGAAAGCGTTGAAGATCTGACGCTGGATGACGATATGAACGATCTGAACGAGATGGAACAGGATAACAATAGAGCCGGACCGTCCCACGACCCCTCCCAACATCCTGGTAAGTTGAACGAACTATTTATATTTTATTTGATTTTTTGTTATAACGTAGTAGCGAAATACAGGGTATTTTTAAAAATTCACTACTGAATCAATTGAAATTTTGTACATATAAGTTGCGAATTCTCAATTGTTGTCGGACATACGTAAGTCATTATTTGTACACTCGATACGAAATTAAACGAGAAATTATACCGTATTGTAGACGATATGCATATATATATATTATATATCACAGTAGTAAAACTTCGATTCAGAGAAACTTTGAATCGAAGCACGATTTTCTAATCCGTGTGATATAATAAAAGGATAGGAAATTTACATATCTCGCAAAATATGTTTGTTAAATTTAAAATGCAAAATTATATTAAAGAAAGGGACTCAATCATTGGTGATTTCAAATATAATTACGCGAACGTTTCGTTTTTTGTTTCTTAAATGTTAAAACGGGTCGTGTAATGTTCGGCCGACACTAGTTTGGGTTTCCTCGTTGCAGGTGGGGGGGCGGGAGCGCGGTCTCGGTCGAGAGGGAATTTGGTGGGTGGTGATGGCGGTGCCCTCTGGGCGTCCCATTTCCTCGAATGTAAAAAAGGGCCGAACATGAGGCGGCCACGCCCAGATGTTGACGTAGGCGCGTTGCTTAAATCGCTGGAAAAAAAACAGGGCAGAAAGTATAGTTTAGACTCGGTTAAAATGTCCCTGGATGCAATATTACAGCAGGGGGTTAGCACCACTCAGGCATCAGAGATGTATGGCATTAATCGCTCAACCCTGCAATTCTATTTGAAAAAGTTGAACGTCGTCAGAAGGAGATGGAGACAACAACCTAGTAACCTGATCCAGCCTAGGCAGCCTTAGTGTGGTGTATGCTTTTACATGTATAGTTTATGCAATGATATTCAAGACTCGGCAGCGAATAATAACATGGCATCAACCGATTGAGAACAATTTATGCCATTCTCTTCTGCTCTGTTTTCTTACATTTTCATTGTCGCGTGTGATAATTTAAAATATACATATAAATATATATATTTCTCTCCTGTAAGGATACAGTGATACATGATTCATTGATCATTGTATTTTATTTTAGTTTTCTTAGATTTAATTTTACAGAGAGGAAGAGAAAAAGCGCGAACGAGAAAAAAAGCATGCAAAAAAAGCGTCTTTCAAATATGTGATAGTTTTTTGAAATAAAACATACATGAGAAGCTGATGTATAAAAATGTAAAAATTTACATCACGCATGTTAAAATGTTCAGTTTTTTAAATGCAATTATTTATTTTTTAATTAATTGATAAATATTTATTTATTGTGAAATGCAAAACTTAATATTTTATCTTGTTTCTTAGTTGACGTTAATAGTTAAATTATCATTATATAAAAAGTATCACACGCTTAATTTTTTTCATTGTTATGTATGTGTATTAGAATCACAAGTACCTACTTATATATATGAATTTGTATGATCAAGCTTTCTTTCATTATGGTTTCTAAAGAATATTCAAGAGCCGAGTCTCATTGAAAAGATATTGAGGGTATTGATAGTATCTAAGCAGTATAGTGAGGTCTCGTTAATTATTATAAATATATTTTGTAGCTACGTTATTTCTGTTATTGAAATTAGTTATTAAAGTTTATATTAAAATTATCATTATGAAAGATTAAGGATATGATAAGAAATGTACAAAATGTCAGACTGTAAAGTAGCTTGGAAACGATCAGTATTACTTTGTCCTAAGTGTTATCGTAGATATTTAATTAAGAAAAAGATATCTAAAATATATCCAGAAATTGGACGTATGTTTTCGCATGTATGTATGCGTGTGCAATGATCACAGATATAATAAAAATGTAAGATGTTCGATGTTATTTGCTAAACGTTACTTTTCGCGAAAATAGAGAAAAACCGACTTGTTCGGTTCGGGATGTGTTGTGTTATTTAAATACTATACACGATACTGCCGAGTGTACTTATTTTGTAAGAGGGTATGTATGATTTATATCATCGATATCACCCTGTATTTCACTACTTCGGACACTTCCAAAATCCAAAGAATTTTCTTTATTCTTGTTTGAATATAACGAGAAACATAATAAAGTATAATCCTTTGTTCCTAGTACAATATTTTGTTGACTTTTATTAAATCGCACAATTTAAATTTTATTGAAATTATATATGGTTTTTACTTTTTTTTTTTTTTTTTTTTTTTTTTTTTTTTTAATTTTAAGTCTTGTTTTGCGTGTAGAAAGTGCTCAGTGTATCATCTGCATCAAGAAGAAAAATTTTTATGAGTATAGTTGTTTGTTTTATTAGCAGGTATAGGTGCATGGCACGTTACCGGCGATCGAAGTAATGCGGGAGGAGTCGTGGGCTCGGTGGCAGGAGCTCCGGGAACGACAGACGAAGTCTTTCTTGCAGCCCAGGAGGCCGCACAGGCCCACCGCGACTCTCAAGGTAGGCTCATCCATATCATTTTTTATTTGCTCCTGTTCGCTGTAACAATAGGCACTCGTGTTTGACAAAATTTTTTTTCTTTTTTTCCTTTTTTTTTTTCTTTTTTTCCTTTTTTTTTCTTTTTTCTTTTACTTAAATTTGTATATTGATGCAAAAGAAAAAAGACTGAAGTATCTAAATTTATATGATTGATTAAATGAGAGAGAACAAATAAGAAAATACGTATTTTACGCTTAATTTTTCAAATTGTTAAGTAATTTGCTTATATATTTTTGAATTTTGTTATCTATGATAACGAAATATATATATAAATGAGACATTGAAAATGATTAGTTAAAAAATCCATTTTTTAGGAATGAAGAAAAATTATGAATGTAATGTTCAATTACGAGAAAAGCCTATTGCGCAGGTGTGACAGGGCTTATATTTTCTTTTCACTGTTGAATAACGTGGTTCAACCTAGCAGCCGGTACGTTCAAGAGTAGCACGGTCTCTGAAAGAGCTTTTTCATTTCCTGAACAGGGCATGTAGCTTCTCGTTAATTTCCAAGTTCCTTCTATCTTTTTTCTACCTTTTTTATTTTCATCGCGATATTACGTTACGAGGTTGACATAAGATTTGCCGATGTTTCGATGAAGATTTATCATTTTATCTTTTCACTCTATTTTCGTTTGTCTTAATGAATTATCGATCAACAGTGCAAGATACCCTGATAATATATCCACGACTATATAACGTTACTTTCCTTCCTTTCCCTTTTTATTCTTCTGCGGCTAATCTCTATCGTTGGCCTCGCAACGCGATATTGCATGACCTCTCTCTCCTCTGCAAGGAAAACGTCGACCGTGCGGAGCAGCTCTCCGTCATGACCACCGACCAAAGGAAATATGAAACTCCTCGCTTCTTTCATATTTTGCGTCTAATCAAGGAAAAAGTTATTATTTGTATGCATACTTTCATGTACATTGTACATAATATATAATATATTCGGTTTTGTCTTAATTTCACGTTAGTAATCGTGCCAATTTATACGACAGAATATAAAAATATGGATGGTTAAGAGAAAAATGGGGGTGTATATGCCGGAAAGAGAGAGAGGAAAAAGAAGCAATAAGGGCAAGAGATCCGGAAAATACAAATGTCGCGTATCGTGATTCTGGAAATAGAATATACGATTTAGAATAATTATTTCTTGTACTCAGTTTCGTTGTCATTTTTCTACATAAATCGTATTCGATTACGTTTCACAGTGTGCAATGATTTAGATATCAGCGAATTATGTGTAGAACTCGATGTGGATAGGGCAGGTCTCTCCAAAGTATCTCTCTTAGACGTTTTTTTTCTTTATGGTGAATAATAAAATATATTTGTAATATTAAAATTCTGCAATATATTTCTGCTAATATATTATTTATTAGAATTATTCTTATTTAAAATGATTAATACATATATATATATATATATATATCATATCGTTGATTAAATTTGTTACGGTTGTGTTATATAATTTTATAAATCATTTTCATTAAGTCTTTACTTTCGACACGTTAGACGTCATCCAAACTTCAATATTAGGTACTAGGAGACGTGTTCTTCATGAAGATCCACCACAAAGGCTTTCCATGAACTGGAAGCAGCATCGTCTTCAAAAAATTCAAAGTTCAGGAACCAAAAAGTTTCCCCAGAGATCATGCAGGGTCTGTAAAGTACACGGAAAACGTAAGGATACATGTTATATGTGTGAATACTGTCGAGTACCCCTTTGCAGAATCAAATGTTTTGAATGTTATCACACGAAAGAGCAATACTAAATTTTTGTTGCACGATTTTTATATCATTTTTATTTTATCGAATTATAATTAAAAAATTCTCTTGTAAAAACTCTACAATTCATAGTTACTATAATTCAAAGTTTAGGTATAATTTTTATAAGTACAGGAAAATATATTTTATTTAATTGAACGCGTAAGGAACGAAATATGAATAATAATGTTCTATATAAGCTGACGAGAAATTATATATTTAAAATGAAGTTATATTAAGTGCAAAAAGATTAAATGGCGATTGTTACAAATTTTGTAACAAATTAATTTATCCAATCAAAGAAATGAAGAAGTAACGTATAATTTCTAATTGGATTCGTATAATTTTTGGATAAAAGATAAATAATAATAAATAAAAAAGTAATAAAAACGATTATTTGAAATTAAGAATTAGTGTGATTGTTGTATATGATATGAAAATTATTATCGAAGCTTTGCGTTTCATAAGAAGAACTATATAGTAAGATCGAAAATAAATCGTAGAAAAAATATATTTGACCAGATTTTATTTAACTGTAAGAGGAATGTAATCTGAAATAAGTTTTTTTTGTAGGTGGCAGTGTGCAGAAGATATGAAGGTCAACTTCGTTTTTTAAATGGTATGATATGGTTTTTATTTATTTTCTGATAGAACGTTTTAAAACGAATACAATCATCTAGTTGAAGGTCATTCAAGATCGTCAAAAATCGATTACAATAGAAATTATTTCATAAAACTGATCGAATCATTTTGATAATTTTCTAAGTTTATATATTTATTGCCAATAAAATACGTTTAAAAATAATAATCTTGAACATTAATGCACAATTTGAAGTGTTACAATATGAATAATGAATAATATATATTTATTAATTTTTCTTACTTAAATAATTACATGTTAAAATATAAAAACGTATATTTTTTTATTTTTATTTTTTAACCGATTAATTCAACAAAATTCAAAGTTCTTGCTACATGAATTGTCATATATTCATTAAAATATTTTTTAATAATTGTAACAGAATTTCTATCTTAATTTTTCATTTATATTTCCAATTATAGAATATATCGTTAAAATGAATGAAATAGTAATAAAAAAACGGAATATCAATAATCAGGGGTAAATTATTTAAATAATTTATTTTTTGTTATAATTGATTTTGAATTCGATCTTCAATTATAAATCATTGTATTCGTTTCAAAATTCAATATTAGAAAATAGATAAGATCATTTTCTTGAAAAAAAAAATGAATTTTATCTTCATATTTTTTCTGCATTTTTTAAAAAATATTGATATCTATCTCAAAACTAAAGCAAACTTGATTTGATGTATTTAAATTATTTATGTGATCTGTTTTAAATGTTTCATTTAATTATGTACGCATTAGGTTCTCATGAATACTTTGCTACTTGAAATTTTTATAGATATAATCGCGATGTTGAGCATTCTTAATTAATAACGCGTTGAACAATTTATCAATGTTATTGGATTCTTGTTCATTGAATTATATTTAATGCTGCAAATCGTGCATATTGTGAGATAAAAAGTTTCTTATGATCATTTTTAAGTGTAATATTTTTATTTTAATTCTTATATACAAATAGTATATTTTCAAATACGTAATTCGTTTTCATTATACGTAAATGGAAAAGAGAAAGGAAGAAAAAAAAAAAAGAAAGAAGAAAAGAAAAACAGGAAAATAAGATAGAGATATGTGCAGCTGTTGTTTTCTCGAGTTGATGCATCTGCTCTAGCAGCTGTTGTTGGCAGATGCAACGCGAAGCTATTTGGTGTAGATGCGACACGGATGCATATGGCATTATGAAAGAAGAAAATTAACGTATAGTATATTTTTATAAATAGAAAAATATTTATTGTTGTTTTATGTTCCAATTTTTTTTCGCAGATATAAATTGTTTCAGGAAAATTATTAATGATGGTATGAAATGAAAAGGATGAGATACTTTTGGAGAGATCAGTTAGAATTCAGGTTAGCGGTAACGAGTTCTGACAAACAGAGTTAAGATAAAATAAAAAGGGCATTTTCACGCGAGCGCGATATATTCTTCTCGTTACTTTTTTCCATTATCGAAGGAGAGTTATATTAGGATAAATGGTCGCCAAAATAGGTGATCCAACGTGGGAAACAAGGTAACTTCGGAGAGAGAGGAGCGATCTCTCTGTCAATGCTAGTTCTTGATTTCGAGAAAATGTTGTTCGTTTTTATTTAGTTTGAAAATTCGTTCTTACAATTCGATTTTTACATTTGTTTTTTCGAATGGAAGACAATTTATGAATATGTTACATTTTCCACACATTTTAAGATCGAAGTTTTGATATGAGGGCTCGCATTGATGGGGAAGGTTGTTGTTTTTGTCGTCAGAGACTTGTTACCTTGAATCGATTGTTCATGCCGGATGAATTAAAAAATTTACAAAAAAATTTTTTAGTTGAACGCAAATTTCATATTTGTATCGTCTTAACACGTTCCGTGTTGAACAATATTCAATGATTTCTGTTTGCGCCGTTTAATATTTTTCTTGAATGGAAATTTATAAGTATTATCGAGATTTTGTATAGGATTTTTCAATAGAAGTTCCAATAGAAAATTTCAAGCAATTGCTTAGCGCACGGATCTTTGGTCATCCATTTTGGCTTATCATATTAAGATTCTGGAAATGCATGCAATAAATATAAAATATTTTCTTTCATCTTTTCTTAGATAGAACAAAAAAAAAACTCATCACATTCAAAGAATGTAAATTTTTTATATAAAAAATTACTATTTTTTTTAAATATTATTTTGCATCTAAATAGTATTTTTATCGATTATTTTGAGTCGATTCAAGTTTAAAAGTAATACGTACACGTATAGAAGTATGTGGTTATAATACAGAATGGAAATAAATTCCGAATTGGATTTGATCATGAAGGAGCGAGGAGAATAGAGAATAGATTAAAAAAGGAGAGTATATTTAGGACTAGGAAATATGAAGGAGAGTGATAATAAAATAAATGAGTGAAATAATTTAGTTTTCATGAGAGATATGTATAGACGGCGCAAATGGATTTTATGATATAAATTTCGCATAGCATGGAACGTGTTTTCTGCACCGTCATTGCATTCGATTCTATCCTAACCAAATAGCACGCAATTATAGTTAATTTGATCGAGATATTCGATTTGTCACGTAA